TGTTTCAGCAGCAGCCAGGATTCCCCAATCCCGGGCCAGATCTCAGGTGCTAGGTGCTGTACAAACATCAACCAGGAAGATGACCTATGCCTCAGAGTGCTTATAATCTAAGTAAAAGCTAAGTGTACTGACCAGGTCAGTGCAGCTCTGGGGATACAACATCATCTGATTCATACCCTCTCCGTTGGTTGGGAGGAATGATGTGCAACATAAAATCTTTTGCAGACTCTCAGAGAAGCTCTTTCCACCCAGTTGCGCACACACTTTTAAATGTCTTTCTCTGACTGGTGACATTTTATTTCCCTGACCCTTCCCCATCCAAGTGGAGTAGATTCCAGGTGGGTCAAATTGTTGTCCTCAAAGCTATGTGACACCCCCCCCTCTGTGGCAACATTTGCAAAACACGTTTTTGAATCATTGATGTTCCTGTCTCTTGTGATTGGCTAAGAAAAGATCGCCATAGGGAGCATGAGGCTGAGCAGCCAATTGCTGTTACACACCAGCCTTGTAAAATTTTCCTTGGAGACTAGTCTGAAGAGGGTTGAGTCAGTAGCACAGCCCCAGTCCCAAATCACCATGCTGTCTCATTAGGAACGTTTGCATTCCCAAGGTTGGCACCTCAAGGGAGTCGATCTTTCCCATTCTCCTGCCCCCGATCACTGAGGACAGGGATGAGAGCTCGTACCACATACACCAGCAACATGTCATATGATAACATGACCTCCAAAATCCACTGTCGTGTTGGGGTGAAATTCACGGTAGGCTTCCCATGGAAATGTAGCATTTTCTCTCTATTATTGACTGTTTAGGGTCACATTTGACCTGCCATTGGAATGTTTGCTACTTGTTATTCATGAGAGATTTAAAACGATTTCTGGGTTTTCTTTGTTAAGAGGTTGGGTCTGGTTTAGTGGTTGTGCTCCCCTGCCCTTTAATTTTCTTTAGTCCAAACACTGCAGTGAGTTCATTTGTGGGGAGAAGCGACATGGAAGGAGAGAAGATTTGGACTCTGGACCCATCCTTCCATGCATGCAATCTGATCTGCAGTGAATGGTGCCAAATTAATCTTAGCCAAAGAGGAGCCTGCCTCCTGGGCTGCTGTTGGATAGGAGGAAAGGAAGGAAAAGAGAGGCCGTGGGATACTTACTTGGCCCTTTCAGCTGTGGGACTTTCCTTGTGAACTACTTTTTGATATTTCCAAATATGATCCTTCATAACTGTGAGTCTTCTGGTCAGCTCTTTGTATTCCTGCGCAGGACTCAGTCACTGGGTTTATAGGAAGAGAATGACAGGAAGAGACTCCTGTTTTCATCAGTTCCACCTCAGCCTGCCTTGTGAATTCCTTTTCCTGTGAAACCATTCCTTTTCCTGTGAAAGGAGAACCAGTCCCTGTTGTGCTGGCAGGATGCCAGAGAGGTGCTCTGGACATGGCACTGGAGTGTCAGCTGTCCGACTTAGGCTCTGCATTTGAAACTAGAACAAAGGATAGGATGGCTGGTTCCTTGTGGGGCTATTCCAGGAAGGGGAGATGCTGGGGTGCAGTTAGAGCCCAGACTGAGGAGACCAGGAGCTAGAAACACCACATGTGCATCTGTGTAAGCAACAGGATTAAGCCTGCTGTTCTGGTGCTGAGATGCTGAGCAAGCTGTTCTCTGATACCTTATCCACCTTGCAGCTGGATTCCTGGGCTCACGTGAAACCATGTTCTTGGTGGGTATGCTCTCTGCTAAGACTGCTGGAGTCGACCGCCTATGGGCTCTGGCACTAAACCTTGCCCAGGCTGCGATGGGGTGCTATTTTCCTTGAGTGGTGCCCTCCCCTCACTGCAGCATAATACTGGACACAAGCCAAACTGTGCATCCACCAGTCATGGAGTCTGGGTGCAGTCTTGGTCCTCCAGGGGGACTGTTAGGTCTGAACTTCCCAAAAGGGAAAGTTTGCCAGGAGGATGAGCCTCACTGGAAACGTGAAGTGAGATGTTGTGTGCGTGTGCTTGTGCTAACGACAGCATTCTCATCTCCCACTCGCTATCTCAGGCATGAGTTCATTTGACTCTTGGGCTAATCCTTTCCTGTTCTTTAAGATCTGAAGCTTCTGAATTGGTTTGGATGAGAGAATTAGAGGTCCTGTAGATGGTCAAGGGCTATTTACTGTTAAAGCTTTGTAACCTTATCTTTTCCTTTAAAAAAACAAAAAGCAAACTAAACCCAAAGCATTGTGGGCATGTGTGCAAAAATGTGCACACCTGTGTGTGTGTGTGTGTGTGCGCGCGTGCATGTGTGTGAGATAGCAACATCATCTCCTCCATCCATAGTGTGCCCAACATTTTTTGGGGGTATTGTTCCTAAGGTCATAGTAACCAGCCATAGGGCAGCAATCAGATGGGTGAGCAGAAGAGCCCTCCCTCATGCCACCCTTCAGCAGGGGAAGGATGAGAACAGATAGAATATTCAGTATTGTGAAGTCCTCCCCATAAGATCTTCCCTCCCTGCAGTGCATCAGTGCCAATGGTGCCAAGAGCTCCTCCTCTCTGAACCAATGACACCCTCCTCCCACTCCTCCCCTAACCCCACCAGCTCAAGGAGCACTGAGGACCACTCATGAGAATAGATTTCAGGTGGGTCAAATTCTTGTCCTCAAAGCTATGTGACACACACTCCTCTGTGACAACATTTGCCAAACACGTTTTTGAATCATTGATGTTCCTGTCTCTTGTGATTGGCTAAGAAAAGATTGGCATGGGGAGCATGAGGCTGAGCAGCCAATTGCCTTTACACACCAGCCTTGTAAAATCTTCCTTGGAGACCAGTCTGAAGGGGGTTGAGTTAGTAGCACAGCCCCAGTCCCAAATCAACGTGCTGTCTCATTAGGAACGTTTGCATTCCCAAGGTTGGCACCTCAAGGGAATCAATCTTTCCCATTCTCCTGCCCCCGATCACAGGACAGGGATGAGAGCTCGTACCACATACACCAGCAACATGTCTTATGATAACATGATCTCCAAAGTCCACTGTCATGTTGGATGAAATTCATGGTAGGCTTCCCATGGAAATGTAGGATTTTCTCTCTACTAGCAAAAGCACCTAATTACATTCTCAGTCCTTAACCTGGAAACTTGTCCTTGGTGGAACACCATAGGTATGGGCATTATTTAAAAAAGTCAACAGCACTGCACCAGGAATTAGTTTGGCCTTACATTCATGAGGGCTCCTTTTTCAGGATGCTAAAATGTCTCACTTGTTTAAAGATTTTTAAGCCCAAAGTGCTTTGGAATGTGAGCCCCTCACTGCTCTCCCCTGCTTATTTCTGCCCATTCTGAAAGAAGCTGAGAGGTGTTTGTAGGACTTGGGATCTTAGTGGCAATGGAGGCTTGGGGGCCTTCTGGGGAAAGTGAGACAATCAGCCAGTCATTCACCCCAGTGACTGCAGCAATGTCCCCTTCTATGTTGAAACCCTGAGCTAAGGTGTAATCGGGTGCTGGTGCCAGGTGACTAGCTGTGACATATTCTGCTGCCCCAATAGGGCTGCTGTACTGTGTACCAGCGTGGCAGGGGGCTCCTGAATCCCTGTGCATCCCAGTGGCTGGGCCTGAGAGGCTGTAGGACTGCATAGCCCCCAGTATTTTTATTCTTTCACCAGGTCCAAAAAGTCCAGTGAATGACTCGTTCCTGGAGCTCCCAGGTGAGAGATGAGCTATGTTTCTTAGTTGCCAGTCCAGACTGCAGGGTAAATTCCATCAGCAGAGCCACTTATAAGATTCTCCATCTCTTCTCTTTCCTTTGTCTGCTTCCCACATCTCTATTCTTCCACATATTCTCTCCCCCCATCATCAGGGAATGCCACAGGGAGCAGCAGATGTCTCCCCTTCATCCCATGGGAGGCAATAGCAGGAGGGCCTGGTGTAAGAGCCTTCCGCCTACCTGGAGACAGCAGCAGGCACATCATTGCACGTACAGCCTGATGCAAAGCCTGCTGAAGTTTTTCCATTCCCTTCAGTAGGGTTTGGATCATGGTCCCTTTTTATATACAGATGTATCCTCAAACGCAGAGATATCTCCATTAATGAAGATGGTGGGTTTGTGTGAGTGATGAAACCATCTGCTGGGGAGAGATGATGGGACAGCCTCTTGGTAAAAGTGCAGTGAATAGCTAGCTTGGGGACTCACGGGAATGTACAGGGTTGTCCTCTCTCTCTTGCTGCACTTTGGTTGAGAGCCAAGTGATTTCTGCACCAATTGCAAGCACTTTTTTAAAAGAAAGGAAATCCAAATTGTCTAGGAGGTTGGAAGTGCCTCCACCTGCCAAGGAGAATCTTTGGGCATGAGTGCAATGGAGGAAATCAAAGAGAGGAGGGAGCCCTTTAAAGCTGCACCTCGGCTGGCTTTTCTTCTCTTCCTCCTCACTTCCCAGTCTCTTGGTCTGATGGTTTATCTGTCAGTGCTAAGGAAAGGGAATTAGTTGAAGGCTGCAGCTTGGCTGTGCCTGATCCTGCCCTTGTGTCTTTTATTTTGGGGCTTGGAGTTTGCTGCTGTTTCGGGGGAAGTGGGAGGGGGTGGAGGGAAGGAGGACGGGGTTTTGGAAGGAGTGTGTTGATGAAAACAAAACTTTTTTGCACTTTCATTCATTTTGCACTCATTTAGTTTCTATTTTTTGGGGTTTTTTAATATTTGCACCTCTTTTTGTGTTTTCATGACGAAGATACGATCGTCGTAGGCAGTGCAGCTATTCTGGAACTTTGTGTCCTGAGTATACAGAGGTTTTAAAAAAGAAAAAAAAAAAACAACTCCAGGTGTGATGTGGTTTTGTCAGTGTTTAAAAATAATAAATAAATGTGAATGATGGAATTATAAATGCTGGTGTCTGGTCATTGAGCTGCTGTCCTCTTCAAGCAGACCTCTCCAAGTGCCCTGCAAAGAACTGTAAGTATGAATCCATTTTGCATATAAGGATAGTGAGGCAAAGGAATGCACCCCAGGTTTTCTGACTCCAAGGATAGTAATTTGTCCACTGGGCCTCCATTGCCATTTGCTGTGTATGTTGCTGTATAAGACACAGAAGACACCACACTAGGTACTAATTAAAATTAGTCTGAGTGTAGTTGAGTACATAGCACCAAAGGAGAGTGGTAGATGAAGTTCAGGATCAGAGGCTGGTCTCAGTTATAGCACTGAAATGACTGGCATTACGTTGCTGTCATAGAGCAGAATGAGGCTCCACTTGGTGCAGAGACTTCATTGTTACCTGTTGTGGCAGGTTTCCATTGTAGGGATGTACAGATATGGGTTGCAAGGAAGTGGGTGATAAATGTCTTCATGAAACCTGTCCATCTTTTAGTGCTTGCTACTTGCAGTAAAGTAAATCTCATGTTCTATTGGTGGGGGCAGCATCACAATTCTTATTTTGGATGGGGCTGAAGTAGGGTCCAGGGCCTGAACAGCTGTGAGGGTAGCTCAACAGGCACTAGCCCTCTCAGCACTCAACCCAATTCTCTGTATCCCTTCCTGCCTCAGTGCTCTGGAAATCATTCTCAGTCCCTGCACTTCTTCCCTTCTGCCTCTGGCTCCTGCCAAAGTCTCTTGGCAGCCTCTAGTCCCCTGGCAATCTGCTTAGCTGTCACTGGTAGCTGCCTGCGTCACACCCCCAACCTGCGAACACCTATCTCTTAGACTGCTCAGCCTGAGCTGACATTCTCTAGCTTGCACCCTAAGGGTATGGAGCTAGAAGTGAACTGATTTCACTATCTTAAAGGGCGTTCACCCTTCTACACCTTCAGCATGGGTTTCCCTAGCCCCATTAACTTGGCATGTGGCTGAAAAGTGGGCAGCTGATTCCTGTGCAGTGGCAAAGAGGGTGCTCCAAGCCAAGAGTAGCCTGGGAGATGGTACCCCGGCAAGAGAGGGAGAGGAGGAAAAGCAGAGTTGAAGGGGGATTTCCCCATCTGGCTTTCTTCTCCCTGTGTCTTCAGCAGCCATGGCTCCTTAGATTCAGAGGAAGAAAAAAACCTACAGCTCCTCCTTGATATTCAGCCAGCCCTGCCTCACCTCAGCTTTGTGGCCTGGGACTCAGCTAGATGGGCTCAGACATCTCACAGTTGCCATAATGCTGCAGCTGGCCGAACTATAAACAGGCCTCAGATAAGAGAGAGACTAGCCTAGGGAGGCTACAAAGTCCAGCACTCTTCAGAAACCTTGCTCTCAACCTTGCCTTTTCTCCTATCTGCTCTGCTGCAACCTGGGACTTTGTGGCCCTTTGACCATAGGCCTTTCCAGCCTCCTTGTCCTACTGGAAGCATCTCCTATTTGGAGGAGAGTTGTTGTGGTACCCCAGCAGCTCAGTAAGGAGGAGAGAGGATGTTTCTGGTGTACGTGTATGGGCCTCAACAGGACACTGTGGAAAATTCTGTTCACCCAAAAGCATGATACCCTGATTCTTACCAGCTGCTTCCCACCTGGGTGTGGGGCATGAAAGACTTACAGACAAATGCTGAGCTGTCAGATATGATAAGATCTACTTCTAATACCAGCCTCTGCTGCTGTGTTCAAAGCAGCTGGGAGAAATATCTGTGCAAGGTCAAACAGGCCCTTCAGGGCACAGGTAGTCACTGATTCAGCCAGTCCAAGTCCCAGGCAGCTGACATTCTCACCAGACTGGAACGCCTGCTCTGTGGCGGTGGGGAGCACAAGATCTGCATAACAAAGATAAAATCCTTATTTCCTTCTTGAGCCCAAGCTGCAAAGTCTGCCTACCCCAGAGGTTAAGGGGCTAGTTGGTTCCAGCATTTTCATTTATCCTATTATACAAGGCTAGGTGGAAAGTTCAGGCTTAGATCCAAACTTCTTCAGAGCAGGGAGCACGTGGGCCTGGGGTTCGGATCATAGGCTTTTCTCTCTGCAAACCTAAGCACATACCTTATTCTAGTGCATTTTCTCCATGCTGTATGCTACCCCCCAAGACACAATGCCTGGGTGTTGTACTTCTAATGCTGCTGAGCACTAGATTCAACTACCCTGCTGCTTGGGGGTAGAAGGGCTTTTTGTGTCTAGTAGGAATCTGTCTTCATTCCAGGGGAAATCTCACTGAACATTCATTCTTTGGTGGTTCTTCTGACTACTCTTTGACTTTTAGTAACTGAGGCTACTCCCATCAGTTGCCCACCTGCTATCTTCGTTCAGTGCACGAGTTGTGATGGGGCCTGTTCATGTTTTTTGTTGTGAAAACTTTCCACCTCTTCAGGGCAGTTATTCTTGACTCCTAGAAACTGTCAGAAACACAGCTTCTGCTTGCTTCTGCTAAAACAAGGAAATGGGAGGAGGGAATGAGGAGAACATTTCACTCACTAGATCCCCATTGGTTACAAAATCCAGCTTTGGTAACGAAATACACACTTGGGAGAATTGCATGAAGCAAGCAGATGTTTTCTTCATAAGAAGTTAAGTAGAGTTGCTAGTTCTGGCTACCAGTCACCAGCAGATTGACTGGAAAAGACCAAGCTACTCGTGATGCTAATATAATACATAAATCTTAGTAAGCTGGCAGCCTTATTTCAGATCAAGCTGCTATGGTGCTAGGTGCTGTACACTTATGCATCAGGCACCAGCCCCTGTGCTTGAGAGTGTCTATACACTGTAAATAGACAGGGTTGAAAGAGAAACTTGTCCAAGATCACATAGCAAATCGGTGGAAGAGACTGGAATACAACTCACATCTCCTCACTGTCCAGTAGCTTGGCCATTGGCTCATGCTGCCATTCAAGTATATGTTCATTGGTTTTTAGCACATCCCGCTCAGTTCATTTGGAACCTAGTTTTTTGCTGGGTAAAAGTACAGTTGTAAGGCTGTGTCATGCAAGCAAAACCTGAGTGTTTAAATGTTCATGGATCTCCTTTCTACCTGCAGACCATGCCTAAGCCTGCTTGTCACGTGAGAACTAAGGAGGCCCTTTCCTAGAGACACTGCTCTGAAGGTCTTAGATGTCCATGTACCACTTCTCAGCATCTCTTACATACAAGGCTGCAGCAGTTAGTAACAGGCTACAAATTAAAATACTATCAGGGAACCATGAAGGAAAACAGAATTTGCTGGAGGAACTGCCACTCGTATTACCCAGTTCCCATGCTCCGGATGTTAGCAGGTCAGTTGTGTCCCAGTTCAGGGCTTCTAACAGTTTCCAGCATCTTGTGGCATTTAGCAGGTGATACATGCCTAATTACCTCAGCTAGGGCCCAGCATGTGACTTGCTTCCAGAAAAGAGAGCACTTTGTTCTAACCCTTTCCACTTCTCTCCATGGTGAGCTGCCCTCTAATCCTGCTGGAGGGCATTTGCCCTCCCTCCCCTTAGCCCCACATTTGCCCTGGATCCCCTCAGCTGAGAGCAATGGCAGGGTAATAATTTACTTCCTAGCATAAGCCACTCCTTAAGAATATTCCTTTGACCTTCAGGCTAATTCACCCAAACAAAAACAACGAGAGAGAGAGGTGAAAACCACCCTTGTGCAACTCCTTCTAGTTAGCTAGCTCTGCCTTCTCCAGCTCCCAGTGTCCCAGCTCTGCCTGTTTGACTTCTTCCGCTCTCTCCAGGTAAAGCTTTGATTTGCCTTCTCATCTGTTTTTTGACTTTCCCTCACTTCGGAGTATGCAAGGCGTTAGTTTAGAGCAAGCAAAATCCTTGACCCCAGACAGTCCCATGCAGGGTATGGAGCGGGATTGACTTTTGGGACGGCTGTTGTTTGGGCATGGAGGTCTGAGAGGGAATGGTACTGACAAGCAGGAGAAGTTGATTTCAGGACCCGTAGGTGTTCCTCTCTCCCAGATGATCACACTCCATGGATCAGACTCTGGCTGGCAGTAAACACAGGAAGCAAAAGCTGCTTTGGATCCCCTGATCATATTCAGGGGGATGAGAGATTTTGTTTCAGCTTGAGAGAATGCTATTTATCTACATACGTATCTGTCTTGTACCCACAACCTAGAAGGTTTCAGCCAGGGAGTCCCATGTGTGCTCAGAATATAGGATGCCCTTAACATATCCAGGCATCATCTTTATTAATTGTTCATCCCTCAGAACTGATTTTTCAGGTATCTATTTTAATACCTGAATAATTATTTAAATAATAATTTTATTATTTAAAATTTATTTACAAATTATTATTATTTAATAATTTTATATTATACATGCAGTTTCCTATTAAACAGGGCAGAGACTATTAGATACAAAGCTGAAGCCCCGAATCAATCCAAATCAACTGGAGTTGAGGAAAAAATCCTGAAGCCATAACAATTCACGTTGTGTCTGCATGAGGATTTTCAGCTGGCATTAATGTTTGCCCCACTTCAGCAGCTCTGGAGCTGGTCTTGAACCGGTTGCTCTGATGGTGCTTGCAGCTCACCGGGTTCAACACCCATCATCCTTGGGTAGCCCCCCCATGTTAACAGGACTGGACATGGGCAGCCTTATTCTAATAGTGGTGTGACAAGTAAGTTCAACATCAGACTTGTGGGGACTACGGGACCAGTGTTTTTAATATGGCTGATGGGTAGTTTACTAATATCTCTGGAGGGAGGAGCAGGACAGCACGTAGTTAGAATGCTTTTTAACCCCAAAGGGGACTTCCTCTGCAGGTCGGATAATGACTTGTGGCAACATCTTAAATGTGGCTAAGCCCTACCAGAACTGGCCAGCCCAGTGCTGGTCCTTATATTGCCCTGTAACTGTATACATAATTATTCCTCAGCCCAGAGGAAGATGGCTAGATAATTGCTAAAGTGTCTTGCTGACATATGATTTTGAGTCTTGCTCTGAGCTTGTGCTGAAGGCTGCCTCCCTACTCGACCCAGCTGCAGTTGGGTACCTGAAGATGCTAGCCACATCCCTCTCTTCTCTGCTGTTGGCAGTGGAAGCTGGTGTGCTCCACCGCTACTACTCTGACGAACCTTATAGACTCAAGTGAACCAGGACTGACTGATATAGATCCAGAGCAACTGCACCAAAATAATGCATCTGGGAAGGTGGACAAAATATGCACCCCTAGCTTTTAGAATTAAAAGCAGACTTGCTTCTTCTCTTTAGCCAGAGGAGTTGGGACCAGTGCAATGAGGGGAGGTGAACGTGGCCTCTGTGTATGAGAAGAGAAGATAGTGGGTCTGAAACCTGGGATTTTCCAAGGAACTCAGCACCCACCCAGGAGGTGGGGGCAGGGCAGACTTCTATCAGGAGTCCAGCAAGTTGGGTGCACAAGTCTTTGGAAAATTTCATTGTGAAGTGTAACAATATAAGCCTCTGGCTATTGAGCACCTGAAGAAATATGTTGCCTACTCTGCATGTTAAGCACTTAGCAATCTGGCTCTGAGTGATTCTGAAAAACCTGTGCCATATCCTTGCCTCTGTTATTTTGATTTAACTGGTATGTTTTGAGTTATAGATTACTCAGAGGTGACCCAGGTTGTGGAAAAAATGCAGAGCTTGTTGCTCCTATTTTCCACATGTATATGCTGAATAACAAAGGCCAGAAAGTTGGAGGTTTTAAAGGAGAGAGTAGGAAATAAAAAGGAAAATTACAACTGCTGTTTGCTTTTGTCAGGACTCAGCCAACATGTACTAAACAGTTGGGGAAAAAAGGAAGTCCTTGTTTAGCACAATTAAAATGCCATGTCCTTAATATGGTACTTCTCCCTTGTAGATCTTGATCTGTTTCCAGAGGAGGTCAGGATCTTTAAGCCCAGTAATGATAATAGTTGAGGATACTGAGGAACAGGCAAGACTTGTCCACGGTCAGCCAGCAGCAGGCCAGGAATGGAACTCGGGAAATGTGTGTCCTATTTCAATGCACTATCTCCAAGGCCACATTACTCTTAATTAACATGTAAGAAACCTCCCACTACTCATGTGAGACCCCCTTCCCTCCCCTCCAAAGAGTTACTCATCAAGTAAAGGACACCTAACATGATACAGCTGATGGCTTTCTTTTAGTCTTTCTTGAGCGCACAGAAGAAAGCAAGAAATAATCATAAAAAGCTCAAACACAAATGTTTAAAAAAAAAAAAAGAAAGAAAAATAATTACCTCCAAACAAGCTCTTATCACATAAGATCAGAGTACATTCCAGCAGGGTATTAAGGTCACCTTTCACCACTGGCTGAAGGTAATTTCTTATGTACTCTTTAAGGAAATGAGTATTTTATTCTAGGTTGAACCTGCAGATTTCAATTATTTGGGGCTGTACAGTCTGTTTCTGATGGTGATAGCTATTGTTATATGAATGGATGACAACAGCATGTCACTTTTCTCTGAAACAGACTATTAAGGAGCATGCACAATGTTTTGAAGGCATGTGGGGCATGTGCAGGAGCTGGGCTGTGTCCTGCAAAATGTCTTGCTCTGGGGAAACGATGAGTGCAGAAGGTAAAGCAAAGGCTCTGCACATGCAGGTGAGATCTGGGTGTAGCTGACCCTTTGCACAGCAGACATCCCACACACATTTTCAACATAATAATGTTCCTTTGTGTACTGAGTTTGGAAAAATAGGGAGCTTCCCCCCTTAAAGGCAAAAAGAAAATGTTTCCTAACATGGCCAGTTTCTAAAGGCTGTAATCTGTTTTATATAGCCTCCCACAGGACTACGGGCATCTGAACAGTCAGTGGACTGTGGCCAAATAGCAATCAGACTACAGCATGTACTTCCTGGCTACAGAGATCTGATACAGCCTGTCACCCGTGAGGGAGAGGTTAAAAAATGTGGCATAAACTGTTAGCAACTTGAGGTGGGGGGAGGCTGGTCTCTACTTACAAGTTCTGCTGGCAGAGCTACATCTATTCAGGGAAAAAAAGAATCACAGGTGTTAGCCCCTGATGAACACAGCTATGTCCAGAGAAGTCCATGTCAATGCAGTTCTGCCAGCAAGAATGTCTCTGCCAGATAAGTTACTTTCATTAGGGGAATGGTTTAAGACAATTTTGTGATTATAAGCTACCTCTCCACTAGGGACATATACCAGGATAATCGGACCAGTGCAGCTTTCTTAACATCCTTTCCCAGTGTAGACAAACTTCCAGGTGTCAATGCTTAACAAGTTAACCTCCTCACAGCTGCCTCATGTACCTGATGGGAAGAGCTAATCATTCCAGTGGGTGTCTCAATTTTATACCACATAAAGAGGAAATGGGCTTAAAGAAGGAGCAGCAAAGTCAGTAAGGTTCAACTGGCACTTAATTGGGATTTGGTAAAATACTTACCCCATGTTATGACTAAATAAGAAGTGATCAAAGACTTGTTTGTTGAGCTGAACAACCGCTGGCATGCATGCAGGGTTTGTAGCTCACTGACATGCACACAGTCCCCAGGGGTCTCTGATGACATGCAGTTCTTTTGTGAACGAGGGCAAGGCAAAGGCCTTAAAATCTGTTATGGATTGTGCTGTCAAAGATATGAGTGCAATCCTTTTAGGTAGGAGTCATGTGCCACTGTATAAGGTGTTGAGTGCTAGTAGTAGCCATAACCCTGTAACCCTGACACAGTGGGAGTCCATGGTCATAAGCCATACAGCAGTTTTCATCTGAGCTTGCCTGCTGCCTTAACATCAGAAGAAGTCAGCTGTTCAATATTTCATGACAAGAATTGTTTAACAATTAAAGACCCTATTTCCTCTTCTGCTTATTAAGCTACTATCAAAGAGGGAAGAAGGTATAGCTTATTCCCTTTCCCACTGGGTTCCCACCACTGCAGACCTGGCACAAACAACCCTGCTTCTCAGCAAGACTGATTAGACGTGCAGGGATGATTTTATAGCTTGTCTCTGTTGGTTAAACACTTCATTGCCATGTGAACCTTCCTGATGCTTGGCTGAGTAATGGGAGTTCAAGGGCCAAAGTCATTCCTGGTGTAAATGGAGATAATTCCCACTGAAGTTGAATTTCACCTGTACTGAGGGGGTCTGTGAAAGTAGCTGGGTCTGCACTGGGTGGGTTTCTGGGAGCATGGGTCTATGTCTGCCTCACAGCCCTACCTGACGCAAAGAGGCATAAAGAGCTCAAGCCAGCTCTCAGGTATGTAGTGCATTCAGACACTGGTTATTGCCTCTGAACTGTGCAGGTGGAAGATAATCCTGAAAGCACCCCTGCACATCTAGACGCAGCAGGCAGCCCTTCAGTTCCAGGTATAGCGCAGTGCTCAGCCTGGAATGCCAGGAAGCGGGGATGGGCTCTCTGGGGGTTCTTTGGCCACTTGCTGCCCAGGCTGAGTTTTGGTGGCAGATGATCTCAGCCACTCTGACATTTGGGAGGCTGTTCTCAGCCTTTCAACCTAGGTATGTTTTTGTGGTCCCTAGTGCCATGACTGTGGGGAGCACAGTGCAATTTGGCCCCTGCTAACTTCCTCCCCTAACGTACTGTGCTGTATGTGAACTTGTGGACAAAGCCAGCAAATGGGCTGGGTACAAGCTGTCTTCTTTCTTTCCCTGTCTGTCCCATCCAGGGATAGGTTGCAAAGACACCGTTGCAGCCTGTTCACCCTGGGGGGCTCCCGGGATGAAGTCCTCTGTAGCTGGCTGCCTCTCATCTCTTACTATTAGTTCTGTCGCCTCAGTGACTTGGGTGCTACCCTGCTCAGCTATTGAAACCACAGCTGGGAACTTGTCCTTATCATAAACCAGTACAAACAAATCATAATAAATGAAGAGCTAATCTCACGCTGCACTTACAAGAGCATGTTTCATTCCAATGGGCTTGATCCTTAGCTTAGTCCTTTTGAGATCTATGCAGCGGCACCAAGTTTGGATTTGGCCTGTTAATTAATTAAATAGTGCAGTCTTTATCAGATAGCAGCAAATTCTTTTCTTTATGAAGGTAAAAACATAGTCTAAGTGGATACATTGTGTGGAAGTCAAATAAATATCAGAATAACACCCTACTCTAAGGTAGCACTTAGTGCAGCATGTAGACTCTGCGCTGTGTAGATCTCAAAGCACTTTACAAAGCAGGTCAGTATCATTATGTCCCTTTTATAGATGGAGAAACAGAGGAAGTGACTTGCCTACGATCATCCAGGAAAACAGTGGCAGAGGCAGAAGCAGAATGTGGATCTCTTGAGTCTCAGGCCCATATCCATTAGGTCACAGTCTCCCCAGAACCTAGCCCTGGTCCAAGAGATTGAAATCTTTTAAAGAGGAGAGTCTCTTGATGTTCCCAAGACCAGAGTTAATGTTGAGAGAGTGCTAGTGCTCCTTTGGGTACCCGCTCTGCTAGACTCCAGCCCGTGACTACTCATAATGTTTTGCTTTTTCTTCCTACCTGTGTCCTTTGCAGAAGGACAGGATACTGCCTAGCATCAGTTTGCTTCCACATCTGCCTCCTGGTCCTCAAGGAAAAAGAGCCTGGTGCCAACCACTGGATTCCCTGTGGAGTTCCTCAGGCAGTGTGTATATATCCAGGCTGACTGTATGTACACACCCTGGCTAGAGACCCCTTCCACAGCGCTGGGGAAGACAAAGGGTAATACACTTGACCAATACACATTGTCAATAATCTCTAGAACTGAGCCATCTTCCACACCTAACTGGCAAGCTGCAGGGTGTGGGGATGGGAGTAGAAGAGGAAATCAGGCTGTCAATTGCCTGCTACTTCAGCATTGTGGCTGGAAAGCAGGAAGCAGAAGGGAGAACTGGGGCAGTTTGAGTTGCTTTGAAGAGCCTCAGGAGGTCATGACCCAATTCCCCCTCCCCACCTGCCAAGAGGTATGACTGAAAGTCCACCAACACCAAAGGAAGACCCTAGCTTCTCCATGGCAGGGTACAGGTAGTCCCATGTTTAGCTGGTGCTTAAGTCCACCCTGCAAGTTTGCCATGGCCTGACATAATTGGTACTAGAGGAGGGACCATACAGTTGCTTTACCAATGAGTCTGGACAGGAATTACATTGCTGTATGGCAGGCAAGACTGATTGGCATGGTGTGGGGGTGGTAGCATTATGAAGCCCTAGCTATATTCTATGTGTTACGTGCTGCCAACAGACATCATCTAAGACGTACTTCTCTCTGAGGCCGCGACCCTGATAAGGGGCGTCAGAGGCCTGGCACATGCAGAGGCTTTCCGGGACCTTTGAGGCTGTGACCCTGAATCCCAGTGTCAGTAGGCTGGTGATGCCTGCCTCTTCTATCTCCATGCATTGGAAAGAAGGCAGCAAGAAATCCAGGGTGGAGGTCTAGGTTGATCTGGGAAAGCCTGGGAGTCACTGGCCACAGGCCTTAATCTAAATCCTTTTCTCTTGTCATCTGATCCTTTTTGTTTCCCATATCTGACAGGGGGAGTAAGTACAGTACACGTGGTTTTGCCTACCTGGCCTTAGGGGGACTAACAGACTACTGTACTCAGTTTTAGTATATTTGAAGTGAAGTTTTGCACAGCATGTCCAAGCCTAAGCTGCCCCTGCTAAGGGGACCTGTGTGCACCAGAACTGGGTAAAACAAAGACTCATTTCCAAGGCATAAGGCATGGTCACAATTTCTCCCACATACCCCCCACACATGTCTTGAGTACCCCTAGGGGTATGCTTACCACAGTTTGAGTACCCCGGTATATTATACAGGAGACCCTCATCATTCGCAGGGGATACATTCTTTTTAGATGTCTTTTTAGCTTCCTCCCAGTGGGGCTGTAGCAGAAACAGCAGCAGTAGCAGGAAGGGAGGATGTTTATGACTCAAAGGGAGAAAAGGAAGATATATTAATTTCCATATGCAGGGTTAACTGTTGTAGGCAACATAAGTTGTTTCTCTGAGGCCTTTAAAAGACATATATGCTCAACTGTTTAGGCTGGAAAGGCAGTTGGTTGTAATGTAAGGTCCAGAGAGGATAGTAAAGGTGAGAGTGAAGGTGGATTGCCTCCTTTACTCCAGGATGCTGGTAGAAGTGCTGTGCGTGTGTGCGTGTGTGCGTGCGTGCGCGCACATGCCTGCTGTTGATGCTTTGTTACCTGTTCTCATGCTTATCACAGAGTGCTTGAGGCTTTAAATACCTGAATATTTTTCTGGCCTGCGTGGGTGATTTGTTTGTCTTTCTGCTTTAAAATGCCAGTCTGCAGGTGGATTCTTGTGGGAATGACTTGCCTTGATTATAGTATGCAGAGTTTGTACCTGTGGAGGTGTCCTTCTTGTTTTGGAATTCATGTGTGTCTCTGCGTGTGTTGTTTTGTTGTTTCCCTCTGAGGGGCTGGGCGCCATTCAAAGCAAATTGCAAATTTGCTTTGAATGACTAGGAGTTGTGCAGTGAGTACTGGTATTTAAACAGATCTATTAAAAAAGGACAAAAATCCTGGAGCTTTTTCTAGTGCTTTTCTGGGCTAGTCTCCCTGCCTGAAGGCTCTGGCCCTGGGTTCTGCAAACTGTAATGAACCCTGAAGAGGTGAAAGTATAACTGAACGCTGGCCTTGTGTAGCCAGCTCAGTATCTCTTAGATTTGTGGCAGGGTAAAGGCCGAGCCTTGCTTGGGTAGTGAAAGCAACTATGTGAGGAACTGCTTGTTCTTTCTTAACTGCATAGGACTCTTGAAATTTAACTCTTAGCTGTGGAATGATTCTCTGTGTTACAGTCCCTAGATGCAGGGAACACAGTGGATTAGCATTTCAGCTTCTGTGCGTCTCAGGCCCTCATCATGCCTGCCTCTTGTTAGTCACAGCTGCAAGGACTTCAGCATTTAATTCTCCCTTCTAACACCTCAGACTTTGAAGCAGGCAGCTTCTTCCAAAATGCAAACCACCCTCCAAATGAAAAAAAACACCCCAGTTCTTCTTGTCTTCTTACATTGTAATTAGCACTTCCCAGAGAGGATGAGGGCAAGGTCCCTACTGCAAGAAGTTCACAGTCTAGGTTAGCTGGAACCTGATGAAAGGAAGCAATGACATCAAGGAAGAGGAGCGGGGAGGCTCGCATTTGAGGCATTGAGGTTGTCTCTTCCTGCGAGGTATGAATCGTTTTAGCAGTATTTTTGTTGCAAATAACACTAGGCTGAGATGGGAATGTGGGTCACGGGTGGCGAAACGGCAGAAAGAAGCAGGAGCTGCTTGTGCTGTGCTCCAAGCAAAACGTATGTTACTGAGGGGTATTACAGGGGTCTTTAATTAGCTGCAGTGATTGCTTGTTTCAAGTTGTGTGTGTCCAGGCTGCTGTGAAAACAGGTATCTGCCACCTCTGAGATGCCTCCACTCTGCTTATTCCTGTGTAATGTGAATCTCTGGGAAATAGGGCAGGGGTGGGTGGGTGTAGCAGTTTCTCAGCTGCATAGTGATGGCATTATGTAACAAAACTCATTGGGATTTGTTTGTCTGATCCATTCCATTGACTTCACAATGCTTGGAGCCTCCCTGCTACACCAGCAAAAGGAGTAATGGAAGCTTTATTCTGCGTTTTTCTGATCAATGTTTCAGATGTAATTTCATGACCTATTTTTAGTGTTTAAGTGTGCTTTGGAAAATCTCTGGGCTGTAGGGCAAGCAGAAGGTGTTAGTGACTATCTCTCATATAAGCCAATATGGTTAGAAGCTGCCTGAACTTTGAAGAACGTGGGGTATAGGGACTGGCTAGGGAGGAGGGACACTGGGGATGGCTCTGATCAGAGTCCTCACGGTGGGTGCCATGGGATAGGTGCTGTGTGTACAGCAAGGATACCAAACCATGCTTCTACAGTGCAGGGGTGAGGCTTCTGTCCCTGAGTGGTCAAGTCTGATGTACTGGCCGTAGTGGAAACACTTCCATTCCTCTCTAGGGACTTGGTGAATAGACTCATTTACCATAGCAAGGGACTATGGGAGTGTGGTATAAAGCGGGCAGGTATTGTGCAAGTTTACCTCTGACAGCACTGTCATGCTCTGCCAATACTTTTTCATCCTGGCTCACCCAACCTTTGTTAATTTAGCCATGTGTTTCCCTTAAGAGAGAGGTAGATCGTGGTTGTGCTTAATGGTAGTCTGTGTCACGGCGACTTGTTCTGTCTGTGTCACAGTGGCTGCAGCTTGCAGATGTCTACAGTTGCAGTGACTTCAGAGTAGATGTACTTTTGGTGATACTGCCTAAAGCAAAGATCCTCTTTTTCCTTGTTATTTGTGATCTGAGCCTGGAATTTGACCAACCTCTATATTAGTTGTGCATGTTGGCATTAAATTAGAGGCAAGCGAGAGGGGAATTGGCAAGTTTTTTAGGAGAGCTCCATATTCAAAAGCCTGAGCTGTCTTCATAAATTGGCTTTGCAGAACTTGTTTGCATAGTAATTGGACTGAAATATCCAAACCACTTATTGATTTCTGTGGTGTTTGTGTGCAGATACAGAGTGGGGTTGTCTTGGTTCATAGCTTGTTTTCTTTTATTCCAGGCTTTATTTACCAGAACAGGGTTCTGATTCCACAACGCGTTTGCAAGCACAGGCTAATGCCAAGCAACCCAAGGTGTGAATTTCAACAGGTCCATCTCCGTTCTTTGTGTATACAAGTGCCTAGTCCCAACAGGCAAAAGTCTAATGCTCCAATTTTTCCTCTTGCATTTAAAGAAGACTGCTCCTTTCATTGCCCTGTCTGCTGTCACTGTGACTGGACTTGCAGACACGCTGTTCAGTGTGTCTCTGTTCCCAAAGTCAGTCACGTTGTCTGTGACACATTTGGTTTGCTCTTTGGGACTGTGCTACCTGGCAGGTGTGCCTGGCTCCTACTCTGAAGGCTGAGGGTCAGGCAGGGTCCACAGCATCATAAAAGAGTAGGGATAGTGCCACCTTTGGGGGAGGGCAAACAAACTTGACTGCAAGCTCTTTATTGCTGGGAAAATCAGATGCACTTCCATTTGGTTATTCTGGGAGATAATGGTCCTAGGAAGCACTGCAGTCTAGGTATTTGATCTAGTGTAGGGGAGGATTTGCAGTGGGGTGCAGTGTGTAGGCATATGAGAAGCTGCTCCTACAATGCTTACACAGGCAGGCATGTGTAGTTTCAGTTTCTGACTCTTATGCCTCAGACTCCCAGAGCAGTGCAGTTGTCTTAATGGAAACCGCTAACTAAAGCAGGGGCAGGCAGTTATTTCGGGTGGAGGGCTGCTTACTGAGTTTTGGCAAGCCATTGAGGGCTGCATGACAGGCAGCCAGAGGCAGATAAATATTAATTTTCTAAATTTTTTTAGGGGCCCAGAGAGCTGGATAGAATTGTGTAGCAGGCCACAGCTGGCCCATGGGCCGCATTTTGCCCACCCCTGAACTAAAGCATTGTCTCAGTTATTCCCATCCATGTCTGTTCTGCAGGTCTATGGGCTAGTGCCAGCTAAAAAGTGAAGATGTGTCCTTTGTTTTATCTTTTTGCCGAATGTAAATCTTGAGCTAACTCCTCTCTGATAGTGGCTCCTTGACCTGTTCTTATCTCTGTATCCAGGGATTTAGTTTCCTACGCCAGGCTACCAGCCCAGTATTGAGACCAACATGGGAAAATGCCTTCTGGAAACTCTCATTAGTTCATATTCATCTTAAAACTGGCTACTGGCTTGGGAGCTGCATGGCCACAATTCACACTGCTGCCTCGGCTCTGGTGGAGCTCTTCAAGGCACTTTAAATGCAACACTGTTTTTCATGGGGTGTTTAAACTCTCCCAGTTTTAACCAGATGTTTTGATTCTCTTCTGTATCAGCAAACATGGGGGTTGAAGGGGAAATCTAGTCTTGGCGTATGTTTAATCTTCAGATGCATCATTCCTTTTTGAAATTTGTCGTTCCGTTTCATCAAGAAGTGCTTAGTTAAGCGTGAGGCAGGGAGGGAGGATGCCTTCCCCCCCCACCCCCCGGCCCTGTTCTCCTGCCCTTTGTTACTCAGCATTGTAAGATATGAGTAAAATGCCACTAAAGTAAAAAGGTGGCATTTGGAAGTTGCCTTGGGATGGTGTATTTGGAGTTGGGGAGGGGAGGGGAGGGGCAGCAAAGTGCAGGACATTAATCGTCCCTTCCCCCAAGTTTTAATGGTGACCCTGACACTGACTTGTTATGTGTCCTTAGGCAAGTCACTTGGGCATTGTGATTCAGTGCTTGGCTACTTCACAAGGGTGTTGCATGGCTTAATTCATGCTGGTGAAGAGCTCTGAGAGCCCTGAATGAAAGGGGCTGTGTAAATGCCAAGCATGACGTATTGCAGTGTAACCTCTATCTCGTGATCTTATTTCTGTAAGAGTAGGACACTGCATGTTTTTTCTGGGAAGTGGCTTATGGAGGAGGTTTACACAGATCAGACCTACTTTCCTCCCAACCCCAGGAGCTGCAGGTTCCCAGCTATTGGTCCTTTCTTAGATTCACTTTTTAAGCAGAATAAAGGTTCCCAAAAGAGACTGGGGAAGCTGTCTTGCCTCCTGTACATTCCTGGTTATTTTGGTGTCTGGGTGGAGGGGGTGGCTTTGAAATGAAGGGCAAGGTCAGTTAGGAACAAACATGTTTCTGTGTTCTTGTGATCACGTCGCCGGCTAATCAGCTTAGTTTTCCAACTTTTCTTTTCCGCAGATCTTATAAAGCACGGACGCGAGAGGATAGAACAAACTATTAAGGCCTCCAGCTCCAGGCTGTGTTCCTAGTGAGTAAGAAAGCTGCAGAATGAGATGCTAGCCCTTTAAAAATGAAGCCTGATAACCTCTGCTCTAGACATAAGTGGTGAATAGAGACGACTGGCACAAGCCAGATGTGGGCAGAGCCCTGGGAGCTGCCTGTGTTACAAACGCAGTGCAGCTGGGAAGCATCCCTTGCCATGGCGCTGACCCTGCTCCCCAGGAGAGGGGCTCTAACTGCAGTGAGTCAAGGTGCCATGTATTTCTTGCGGATGGGATGCTGTGTGATGAAGTACTGAGAGGAGGGGAGGGCGCAGGGGTGGCACCTGCAAAAGTTCATAAGGTTGGCTGGCTGGTTGCAAAGGGTGGGAGTTTAATGGACCTGCATGCCTGCACAGCTTCCCTTGATTTTGGTGGGTGACTGGGGAAGAAGTGTGCAGGTAGGAAATGGATCAGATATGATGGGTGGGGGGGCAGCTACCTGGTTTATTGATTGTTGTCTTAAAAATAAGGGATATGGGGGAGGGTCAAAAAACAGAATGGTGGACTGTGGCTCCCTTTGAGTAAGAATAAGAATCTCACCCTCTGGTATGTGACCAGGGAAAATAAGATTAACTAGAGAGGCATAAGACCCAGTGTTGATAACTTTGGTTCTGACCTGCCCTGTACAGCCAAACTGGCATGGGGTCACCCCCGTGTGAAGTGTGACACAGTTAGTGCTCCTGGCTGCTACAGCCCACGCTCGGGCTTGGTCCAGTTCTACATTCCTG